TATGCTTGGCTGCAAACCTATGGGCCTACATGGCCCGCAGAATCAAGCTTATAAGAAATAATAACCATATTACCCCGTTTTTTTGCATACCTAGGCCTAGTCCTGAATAAGTCCTGAATATAGGCCTACATTAGGATATTATATCAAGTATAATGTGTTTTACTTGATTAACGTCCTATTATTTCTGTAAATAAAAGCAATGTTGTTCATGAGTGTCATTATCCTTTCGTCTGTATCATGCTGATTATGTATATATTTATTTATGTGTGACTTAAAATTATGTTTGCGATTATTCAAAGATAATGTAAACATTTTCTAAATATAACCTAATTTCTGCATTGACGTCAAAAATCATGTTGTTTATTCAAAGCATGTTCATAATGTGAAACAACAGCTATTTGTAGAGCTACGGCGAGGTAAAAGGTAGTCCAAGGTGCTTTCTGATTCTACTGAAGTTCTAGTGATGCACTGAAAAGCGCGTGAGGAAAAAGTGGATTGCCATGTGGGTTTAGTTTTGTTTCATATCGGCTTACTGCTTGATGAAAACACTGGGTATATGTTCCCTATCCCAGCATTATCACGATATTTCAAATATTTACATTAATATTATACATTTATATCAGTGAGAACATCACATAGGTGTATAGCATTTTGTAATTCAATGTAATTGAGAAATTCATAAATTAGTAATTGCACAATATTTTAGTGTTAAGCCTTTGGAGTCCAGTTACTTAATTATACAGTTTATTTCTCTTCACTGTTATAATTTTGTTTTATTGTCCAATATCGTGTCATTCAGCTTCTTTATTCTATCTAGTCAGGTCTGTCTTTTTTTAAATTGCGTCGCGGTCAACAAAACAATAATGCGTCTATTACTCCCCGAAGCTGGCCTGCCAACATGAGTAAGCGCGACACCTGCTGGTAGATAATATTTATCTAACCTAAAGTCAACGATGAACTCAATTAGATTTCCCCATCTAAAGCAACAATAGCTCACAGGTGAGCGGAGCGTCTGTCACATTCTAGAGTGTTGGCAATGTAAAGATGGTCTACATCTAGGGCCGTGGTGCCGAGAAGAAGGAGAGTTGGAGTTGTTGCTTTGGCTCTGCTATAGGCATGCTAGATGGAATTGGCTTCAACAGCTCTTTCATCTCGAGTCCAGTGCACAAACATATAGCTTAATGCGACTAGTGTTCCCTCTTTTATTCGGCTCACCATGACAACCGAAAGGCTGGGTTCAGAAATGCCTCCCCATCAATGAAACAAACGGTCTTAGCGGGGCTGCGCAAGACGGCATCTTTAACAGCGAGGGCACACACAGTTAACCCGTGAGAAAAACGCAGGAAAGTGAAGAAATTCGACGCTAAGTCTGAAAAATGGTGCATGTTATACAACTGGTATTACTTTTAAAATGTCCGTGCAATTGTGTTCGAAGCAAACCTTCTTGAGGACCATTCCATGCGGAGTTATGAAAACCTGAATATTGTTGTCCATCTCTGCATCTGCATATAATCGTTTTAATTACAGTTATCTTAAGGATTGCCTATAGGCTACAAATGCTTTCGGAATAGGTCCCTGATTTAGCAAGCCAGAACCAAATAGGCTATAGGTTCATAGCCTTAGCCTATAGCAAAATATAGGCTACAGCCTCTCATTCGATCAGTTTTCGTACGCATTCTAGTCCGTTGATTAAACTTAAAGTCGTGGGTTATGTCATTATTGTTGCTCAACTTTAAACAAACTTTGCCACAGCAGCATGGGATCGATTTATGTAAACGATTTGATATTCACTGGTGTCTATGAGACTCCTCCAGAGAATTCAACCAAGGGGTATCCTGCTTAAATTTGATTGATTGCACTTTCTCCAGTGGACATTCACTACAAAACAGCACAGCTTAACCGTCTGCTCACTATTTATAAAAGCGAGGGATGGGAGGGAAAGCCAACACAAAGCATGTATTGATTTTTGGTTTAAAAAAGGAAAAACAACATATATGTTTTTTATGAGAGTTAGAGGTGGGAAATGTTTATGTCCGCAGTGTGACATAACATATGGGCTAAAACGATATCAAATGCTTTAAAATATATGTTTAGAAATTCGTAAAGCTATACGTTTCCAATGGTATAGGTTAGTTCACATTACATTGCATTCCCTTCCAGTATGAATAGTATAGGAAATTCTAATAATATTTGACTTACCTTATATCCAAGAACAGTCGAAAAATGCTTTACATTTATATTTGTAATCTATTAATGGCCATCTCCTTTCCTACGAGTCGGTGCGCCCTAAGATTTTCTTTCCTCTGCCTCAACTGAGCAGAGCACTCCTCGGCTCCGCTATTATTTTCACTAAAATATATGAAAATTTATGCAAATGAAAATCAGCACTAACTGTTCGTCTCTTGTTATACTTGGGGATTTTTTCCCCCTTTCTTTTTTGCATACAAAACAAATGAACTCCCCAGCAGGGAACTTGGGGACCTTATAAAATAAACAAATAAATAATAAGCACACCATATTTCACAGAGACCGAATTTAGCGGCATACATTGAACTCAGCGACATTTTTTAAAGAAATGCCTTTTTTACTCTTTTCGGTTATCTTTTGGAAGTTTTTCCTTCCCATTACCCGGTGTAACGTTTCTCACCGCGGCACTAGCCGCCCTTTGAAAGCGTGCAATTTGAAATGTATATTAGTAATTTAGAAATCCTGAATGTATATTAATAAGAGGACGGCCCATGGCACCGGCCCTATTCTGTATTCAATGTAAACAACTCCACGAGGCTACCTCGGTTTTGAGCCGGGTCCAAATGAAATCTACTGGGAATGAAGGAACTCTGGCATCCACTATGTGCTAAACTACACCAGTCTATTATCATTGCTCATATGCAATAAAATCTCTGCTCAGTCTTTGGCAAGGTGGGTTTTATTAGGAAACAACATGAGTTGGTTAGGATCATCGTAATACGTTTTCTGCTTTCTGACCCTATCTCGAACATAAGGTCGTGGTTCAGGGTTATGGTTTATCCTAAAATGTAAGAATAGCCAATGTTACTGGCAATAGCTGCTCTACAGTAGCCAACACTGGAAGCAAGCAGTAGCTCTGAAATCCTGTGCCTCCTTGTTAGTGCTCTACGTGAACGTGACTGCGTCTCAGCCAGTGGATGCAATATATTATATATGGTATTTATTCATTAACACTGCTGGGTGAATCCATATGCTGAGGGGGTCCACTTAACAAAGGCTCATTCATTTCTGGGTTATGGAGTGATCTAAAAAGAAGGTGCATTTAATAGGGCCTATCTGTAGCCTAGTTGGTTGTGGTTTTCAGATTTAAAGGCAGACTTTTCCCCCTGCAAATCCCCCAAGGGCTGCTCAATTTACCCTTGTTTTGGTTGCCACTTTCTCTTTCCCTGTGGTTCAGTGAGGTTGCCTATGCGCTCTGTTTCCGCATGGAAGCATCCTCACAACCTTTGTGCGTTAACTCCTGAGGAACCAAAGCCCAGCCATCAAGCAAGACGTGGGGAATTTTGAGTATGATGGTGTTTTAGGGGTAAATGGCACAGAAATGGCATCACACATTTGTCTAACTAGTCATTTTGTTCAAAACATTCTCAAGGGCACACAATAAATTGTTTGGTTATGTGAAGGTAATAAGAGCATTATTGTCCTAGAGCACATTGATAATGACGTTTGTAGGCCTACACCAACATCCAAAAGGTCCCATCTCCACCAAGCCTATTACAATATTTTATTTTACGTGATCGCTGTTATGCATATTAGGCTAATATAAACATATTTTATGCAGATAAATCCAATATATCATTAGGTCTATTTCCACCAATGACAGTTTTAAAACACTTTTCTAGTTTTTGACAAGGTTAAATCTATTCTGGTTTATATGAAAGTTATAATATGTTTAGAACCCACATGTAAACAATACTTCATGTATAGCTCCGTATTACTCATGAATACATTTATTAGATTTTGTTAGTTTATTTCATTCCTTTATTTTGTATTTATTTGCTTATTTATTTATTTGGATTGAATTAAAAACCAGCCAATTGCAACGGCCGGAAGGAGGTTTACTCGCCTCAAGCGAGGCTGGCGAGACCTGTCAATCATACCTCGGGTATCCAATCAACGGGAGTCTTGCACTCGACTTCCTCGTATTTGAAGGGGGCGAGACGTGGACGATGTGCGCACGCTTGGCACAGGGTAAACATTCGTGTGTCCTCGAGCTTTGAGGGAGGGACTGAGCGAACTGTCAGAAAGAGAAAGAGAGGGAGAGAGAGAGAGCGAGAGAGAGAGAGAGAGACTGAACAAGCGAATGGGAGAAGAGCCTTGCAACCATCGCCGTGCACTGTAATACTGGATTGTACTTCAGCGGGAGTTAGCGGTTTGGCAGGTTTATACACATCAAAACAGAACAAAGAGATAGACTCTACAGTACTATAAAAGGAACAGCGAAAGAAAAGAATAAAGCAACAAGGGAGAAATCTCAGCGGCTAAATTTCAAAAGAACCAAGGAGCCAGTGCTTGTGTTTTTCTCCCCTGCAATAGGAACATAAACTGGGACTTTGTATTTCGTGGAGAAATAGCGACAGTTCTTCGACTACTAGAAGTTTCTTGGGGCAAATCATTTTTTTCTGTATATTTTAATTTTAACTCTGAGACATTCTAAAGAAGACAAAACTTTCTCGACGGACTGCACATGGTTTCAAACGGCTTTTGAAAACCTGGATTTTTATTCATCGCTATTTTATCCATTTCTATTTGAAATACATAAATGCTGTAATCACAACAAATACGGATTTTATTCATTTTTGTTATCCTTTTTATTCTTCTAGCGTTTGCATAACAAGTCAATGGTATTTGCCAAAATACAACCCAGACTTTTAAAGTTTGAATAATTCATGAGATACAATTTGCCTGCTCGAAAAAAGTAACTGAAAAAGGGAGGGGGGTAATCAACAAACATATTCATAAGGGTTAACGGAATGGCCACCGCGGCTTCCAATCCCTATCTGTCCAGCAATAGTATCCTCTCGTCCGGCTCGATCGTGCATTCTGACTCTGGAGGCGGTGGTATGCAGCCGGGCAGTGCTGCGGTTACCTCGGTGTCTGGTGGATACAGAGGAGACCCCACAGTTAAGATGGTACAGAGTGACTTCATGCAGGGAGCTATGGCAGCGAGCAACGGAGGACATATGTTGAGCCATGCCCATCAGTGGGTGACATCCCTGCCGCACGCCGCCGCTGCGGCAGCTGCAGCCGCTGTAGCAGCAGCCGAAGCCGGATCGCATTGGTCGTCGAGTCCCGTCGGTATGACAGGCAGCCCTCAGCAGCAGGACGTGAAAAACAACTCGGGCAGAGACGATCTACACACGGGCACCGCGTTGCACCACAGGCCCCCACACTTAGGTCCCCATCAGACTCACGCAGGGGCTTGGGGGAGCACAACTGCGGCTCACCTCAACTCGATATCCGGGGGACAGCAGCAGCAGCAGTCGCTGATCTACTCCAACCCCGGGGGCTTCACGGTGAATGGAATGCTCAGTCAACCAGGGAGCCAGAGCCTGGTGCACCCGGGTCTGGTAAGGGGGGACACCCCAGAGCTGGACCACGGCAGCCACCACCACCACCATCACCACCAGCATCCGCATCACCAGCAGCAACACCACGGAGGGGTGAACAGCCACGACCCGCACTCCGACGAGGACACACCGACCTCGGATGACTTGGAGCAGTTCGCCAAGCAGTTCAAACAGCGCCGGATCAAACTCGGCTTTACGCAGGCGGACGTGGGCTTGGCCCTGGGCACCCTGTACGGGAATGTCTTCTCTCAGACCACCATTTGTCGGTTCGAAGCTCTCCAGCTCAGCTTCAAAAACATGTGCAAGCTGAAGCCACTGCTAAACAAATGGCTGGAGGAGGCGGATTCTACCACTGGCAGCCCGACCAGCATCGACAAGATAGCGGCGCAAGGAAGGAAGCGAAAGAAGCGCACGTCCATCGAAGTAAGCGTGAAGGGAGCTTTGGAGAGCCACTTCCTAAAATGCCCCAAACCCTCGGCCCAAGAGATAACCTCACTAGCGGACAACTTGCAGCTGGAGAAAGAAGTGGTTAGAGTGTGGTTTTGCAATAGGAGACAGAAGGAGAAAAGGATGACGCCCCCAGGAGTGCCACAGACGCCGGAGGATGTGTACTCGCAGGTCGGCAATGTGAGTGCAGATACACCGCCCCCCTCCATGGACTGCAAACGAATGTTCAGTGAGACATAGAGCAGAACACAAGACTAAAACATATTTTATATACAATTAAAACTGATAAAACACAGACTATCGTCAAGATAGCCAAAACATTTTTGATACTGTGATTGTGATGGAATATGAATAAGACTGCAAATGTGTTATATATTTTTCACCAGAACAAAACAACCCTCCCCCCTTTTCCACCCAACCCCAAAACGCACCGATAACCTTCTTCCAAGCCCTGAAATGTCTTCACCTAAAAGGTTCCTTCTGCTCTTTCTTTCAGGGACATTTTTTAGTAGATTACTTAAAAGATGCAAGTTTAACTGGGCCGAGTGAACCGACCGACCAGAGGGTGACTACAAGTTCGTTCCATCAGGTAATTTTGGCGCATTAACAACACCAACTGGAAATTTCAAAGCAAGTAGGCCTATTAGAATTTTAAAAGATTCCCCCTGTACCCTGTATCTGATTTGCGAAAGACACAAGAAGCAGGCATTTGTATATTTAAAAATGGGACATTTTAAACCCCTACTTTAACAAAGGAACAAAAACTGCAACAGCATCAATACGAAGAAGAGTGGCATCCACGAAGCTTCCAACATATTTTTTGCGGGGAGGACTGCATGGTTTAAATTTTCACAAAGAGGAATTGGGATTTTGAGGCCCTCCACGCCTAATGATAAAATATAAACTCAACAGGACTGTCCCCGCCACCTGATCTAAAAGATCACCTCTTTTTTTCAAATAGATTTTTTTTCATGGGACTTGAACACCGTGAATGTTTTTTTTTTGAAGACATAGAAATAGACATTTGAAAAGACTATCTTCAGCTGCACTTATTTGAAATTCTTCTCCTCTCCGTTGCCAAGTGTGACTGAATGGGTGCTGTGGATGTAACTATACATGCTGCCATTTCTAAGCAGTATTCTTTGGTAGGTTTTAATAAACAACAGACTCTGTAAAGCCGGCAATATAGATTCATTAGATCAGATGCTGATCTGACTTATTTACTTTATATTTTTCATCAAAATGACTTGTTTTAATATTTTATTCGGAATACATATCAATTATTCCAAGCGGTAATTTATTTTCCCCCAGAACTTTGTGTAAAATGTTTTGCTTTCCTGTTTTCGTTGATGACTTCATTTGTTTTGTTTAATTTTGTATTCTCGTGTCTAAAAGGAGCACAAATCAACATAAGCTGACATTGACAGTTGTTAGGTAATAAGGGTATATTTTGATGTGATAATTTGATTGTAATTTAATTTCAGTAGTGATTCCTTACGAGCTGATTGAGACCAATAAATTTGTTAGAATGAAATTACGTCATTGTGTGTTTTGAGATTTATATTTTAATTGCATATTTGGCTATGTTTGTTTATGAAACAAGGAATGCATTAGTGATATTATTTTATCTGAGAAAGGTTAACGCGGAGAAATTGCGGATTGTTCTTGTTCCAACTACTTTTGTCACAGATTTGCATAACATAAGTTTACAAATAATACTAGAATTTAGGAAAAATAATTTGCATTTGCATATTCTAGGCCTATATTAGTCCGCAGACGACTAGTCACTTCAAAGTACGGTGTGTGCGTTTGTTTACATCGCCACGGCTTGAGACTTCCTCAGTAGGCCCAATATTGGGGGCCATACCGATCTTTATTCCATGGCTCTGGTTAATGCTGTAGGCCTATCTCACCGGGGTTGTGCGTCATGTTTTACAGACAAATATATAGGTAGATGTTGCTACTGATATTGTTTGTAAAATAGTTATTCCTTCGCCTACGTCAGTATAGCAATAAGAAGATTCGATTCAAAGCAGTATAGTCGATAGATTTGAGTGTTATTGTTTTCATGCGCCAGTGTATTCATATATTCAGAGTGAAAGTTAAATCTCATGGGTCTTATTTATGTTTTGAGAAACAGTATTGTTATTTTGCAAATATGAACATAAGGTCAATATTCTTCCTCCCGACACACTCACATGCATGCGCATGTGAACAAACGGTATACTATCCATTGTAGTAAACAAACTGTATACTATCCATTGTTGTCATGATGTTATTAGAGTTTGGGCATTGAATATTCTACGTTTTAGTTGCAAAGGTATGACTGTAGCCTACACTGTTTAGGTTGTCCTTATAGGCCTATGGTGTAAATATGCTCTTGCATGGGATGGTGCAGGGTGCATAGACAACTTCTAGTTTTTCAGTGACTATAGACTAATGCTTCCGAATTCTCATTATTGTAAACATCCTTTTGAGATGATTTCAATGAAACATAAATCTCATTAGTGTGATAATAACACAACAAGCATGATGCTGACCTAATGCATTGCTAGTCTAAATGTATCATGTTACCCTCAAAGTATGATAGTCTTGGCGTAGATAGATGTTTTCTGGTTTAAAATAATACTTAGAGAACTTTGCGATTTCATATTGACATCAGGCTTTGGGGCAGTGAGTTGGACATTGATTAGGCCTATCAAATTGGACATTGGAGCCAACGAATGCAAATAGATAAAATAATAGCGTTTTAACATGTTTGAATGCGCTTTTGTTTTGTAAAATGGACATTGGCATTGATAATGCAATACCTATAAGGTTTGCAACATGCGCATGTTTGTTTTATGTTTTGCGACTTTGGTCCAGTTTAGGCCTATAGGCATGTCGATAGGCTATATCTCTACTTGCATAATAGTGCATGTCATGCCATATATAAACTATTTCGATTTCCTAAGACCGAAATTAGGACGAAACCTATAGCTTGGAAAAGCACTTGGCTCTCCAACTTTTTCTCGAGTTGACTATTCAGCTAAATGCACTATCCACGCTCGAAGATTTAAATTTATTGGTGGTCCTCTGTAGCTCAGCTGGTAGAGCACGGCGCTTGTAACGCCAGGGTAGTGGGTTCGATCCCCGGGACCACCCATACGTAAAAATGTATGCACGCATGACTGTAAGTCGCTTTGGATAAAAGCGTCTGCTAAATGGCATATTATATTATATATTATATAAATTTCGCGGATGATTTCCCATACACTAGTTGCTTAGCAACTGAATTCAACGTTATAGAAGAAGTATGCATCACTTTCCTTTGTCCCCATTAATAAAAGTGCGGGTAGATTTGGTCATTCGAATCCATGAAATCCCAGAGTAATGGGTGACTATAGCCAACGTTCTGATTATAGACGCATGCAGTTTGGTTCGAAAGGAAAAATAAAAATAAATGTTTTATTGGATAGGTGCAACTTGCAATATTCCATTTCCATACACGCCTATAAAGAAAAGTATGCTAATTTAAGACAATAAGCATATAAAAAGTAAGAATATGTTTCGTTTGGATATTTCAAATAGCCTAGATAATTGTAAGCACACGCGTCCATCCATATAGGCCTAAACAACTTTATGCCACCAACGCACCCAATATAATCGAATTGGTATTTGTTTAGGGATAACCCATTGACTAAATGTAGTTGTCAATAATTCCAATGCAATAAATGGGTGGGGCATGATATAACACAATATATAATAGGTCCATGAAGTATATATTATTTTCCATATTCTTCATATTTGATCATCTGGGGCTTATTGCCCACCTTCGAAATGTGAAAATAGGCATGTCACATGACTTGTGTGATATTTTGCCCACGTCTGCAAAATTATTTTGATCTAAATCGATTTTTTTTGCGTTATAGGCCTAGTATAGGGATTATAACCTGTATTTCTTAGTAGTACATTAATTATAACCATAATGCAAACTTAGTGCATTGTGCGTTTATACCATTAATGCATGGGCAAAATGCTTGTGCAGCATTATTTGTCTGTGTGGAGGGTTCCAAATTATCCACATTTATAGAAAATCATAACATTTCTCTTTTACAGGGTGACATGTAAAGACTTCCAAAATAACATAACAGGTTTTGATTTGCTTTATGCACAATCTCTCTCTCGTCCAGCCAGCCTATTCGCCCAGCATTTCATGGGTCTTCAAAATCTGGTGGGCAATACCCTGGCCTAGTCCTTTGTTTCCATAACGCATAAGGATATTTCTCGTTGTGGAATCTGTATGGCAGCGTAACTTTCTCTTTTAAATCGTGACCAATTGTAACCCGGGTAAAAGGGGGGAGGGCCCGTCACCCCAAAGCCCTGCAGTTTGGACATTCTCTCAACACAATGGGGTTCAACACAAGGCCGTTATCATAGAGAATATGTGTTTCGCCACCAGACCAAGCCATGCAGTGGTAGCAGAAATGTTCATCGACGTTTATGATTTGGTTAGGTATCCGCAAAGCCATCTATGCGCCCAGTTTAGGCCTACAGTATGTGGCAGATTAACGTTGAGTGTTTTTGGATTCATTATTCAAATTTACAACACTCAATTCCATCAACACTTTCTCTGCACTTCAGAATAAGTCCGTTCAGTCACGGCGCAACAATGGCCCTAGCATAACTAATGGCAACATTATGGACTGCTGATAGGTAGATTTGGGTGACACATATCAACAACAGCGAGAAAAAACAACAACATAATACAACAAATTGAGAATTAGCCTACTTCTTCAGAGTGTGCTCTAAGGCTCGATTAGACGTATAGGTCTAAAATGTGCACGTCCTTACACATTTATAGGATCTCAACATTGTTATTACATCATAGTAGATTGAGGAATACATTTGCTCTATTCTAATGTGTTTAATATGGTTTACACCTTTTCTTAATTCTCACAAGATCGGTAACATTATGCATGCACGTATAGTGTTTTGATTTCCTTGAATGTCTAATATCCCAGTGAAAATATGACCCACACAATCGTTTCCCTCATATTATACTTCTCCCACGTGCCGTCCACATGAATATGCATTAAACCGGCGTTGTTTTCCATGGGGAGGCTTCCTCGATGGCCTATAGTTCATATCCTGTTGCGAAAATGGTACTATTCTATCGGTGATATAGATTCCCCCACAAAAAATCGAAGCCCTCTCATGTTCTGCTCTTGACTGATGTGAGGATAAAATCGAATGTATAT